ATCAGAATGCAGGTTGATAGCGGTAAATATTCACAATATACCCACGCTCCAAATATAGAAAATTCGCATGATTAGATCCAGTAGGAACGGAGTTACGACTAAAAAGTACGGCTGAAGAACCATTTCACCGAAGACTTTTGAGCGCTACTGTATATTTTGCTTACCCGTTGAAATGGCTCTAATTCAAACTTTTAGGATATATGATTCAACAGCGCTTCTGTGCCAATTAGTTTTTTTAATGGTGGAATATTTATTACACTTAACGTTTCGATCAATTCGTCATTATCAAAAAACTGAGAGCAATTCGGAACTTTATAGTGTTACCTATCACGCTTGACGGAGACCAACTCTTAACCAGTTATATACAACGATCGACCTTCTCTTAATCTTGGCATGACCTTTGACTAATATGTTTGTATATTTGCTTCAGACTTTCCAAGATTTTAAACTTTATAAGGCTAACGTTTCGGCAAGTTCGCCTTCGTCAGAGCCTGAAAGTCGAACAACCATTGAAATTGATACTATAATAAGGCAAGACAAACCCAGACAGTCTTCTAGACTAGAGACCCCCTGGACCCAGTATACAAGATGCTTACCTCAATCTAAATCGCTGGAGCATTAGATCGACCACGCAGTGTTTACAGTACGCGTACAATGAGCAAGTCTACCTCTTTCCATACCTCACTGTAATTTCAAAAATTGCAGAGGTCGAGGAAAGGCGTGAGGTCCCGGGTTACGGCCACCCACTCTTTCTTCCTGTTCAATTCTGGCTTCCCAGCTGCAACATAACACGCTTCAAGTGCTTTCCGCACATGAGTCTCTGGCTACTGAAATTGTGAATTCGTTACCATCATGACACAGAACTCGATGCCTTCCCAGTGGTGTTTGAGTGGGAAACTTTCTTAGCCCCTCCAGGTGTTTTTTTAATTCGTGTACGAAGGGGACAGCCTATTTCACCATTATACTCAGCTCCACACTTAACTCAAGTAAAAGTGTTAGATTTTTATTCTGAGGATGTATTTTCACATCATAATTAATGTAACAAAAGGAGTGTGTTAGTTCTGCGCGCAAAACATAGAAATTAACTAATGAAATAAATACTAATCTTTCAAATTTGTTTTAAAGTAACCTGTTCGTTTTTGAGTTTCATAGATGACTCCTGCTCTTAACTAGAGGGCAACTCAGACCGATGAACTTCCAACTTAATAGAAATTCCAACAATTCACTCACCTGAGCCCCACCAACCTCGAATACTTGCTCAGCTCTAGAGACGATAGTAGAGCAAATGAAACTGCCCGATCAACCACGATCCATGAATAGTTTCGTGAATTACTCATATCAGTCCCTGTTATCAAAGCTCATGGAGGGGGATGTATGGAGTTGTGTTGACGGACTCATTCCTGTTATTCAAGCTTGGATTTCGGTGTCTTACCCAGAAACCCTGAAGAGTATTTCTGACACCATATTGTTTGATTTTTGATGTATGTATGAAAATACCGGGTGGTTCCCCCAACAAACTAATTACCAAAATGAAAACTCAAAAGCAATATTTCTCCTCAAAAAAACAAACGAAAAATCATTCTTTTACTCGTATATTTCCTAAAAATCAGATTTCAGCTGGATTTCCTCACCGTTACTGGTGTGACAGTGATTGAGCCGCAGCTGTTCACAAATTCGACTCGATTTCATATTGTACATTTGAAGGATTTGAATTGTGAGATTCCACCGCGTGCATTCGAAGATTTGGCACATGTCCATCAGGTATGACTGAGCTATCATTCTTCCTTGAGATTTTTGACTGCTCGAGTTGTAACCTCTGGCCTTTGAAAGATTTGATAAAGAGTTACCTCTAAGAAGCGGAACAAGAATGTAACAACTGCAAGCAATTCCTCCATCCCCTTATCCTTTTCTTTTTCTTTTTCCGTTTCTCCATTGCGACTTTGTAACGCGCTAGAAATGAGACTCGAAGTGTTCAAATGGATGCGTAAACTCCGAATGGAATGGGAGTGGAAATGGCCAGTGCACTGAGCGACGTTTCTTGAAATTCGGCTTTTCTTTATGGTCTCTTTTTCTTGGGGCGGAGGTGGTGTAGTGTCAAGCGTTGCACTATAACACACGCATGGTCACTGACTTGAATCCGGGATCGATATCCACCTTGACCAACCAAGCCCTCCATCCTTCTGAGGTTGAATAATCGGCACCAGACTCGTCTGGGAGGATAGAAGCAGTGGTTTGTACATGGCTGGCTACCGCACGTCATTGTGTAGGACACATACGCATTCAATACGCCACTACGATTCTGAATGGAAGTCGGATGCGGGGCGCATCCTAAGACGGGACTGATTTACGCCTGAAGACATTATCCCTAAAGACTTATTCATTAATCACAGCAGTCGCCCTACTGAAGTCTCTTACATAGTGGCTGACTATTTGTTGAAGCTGTTGTCTGCCCAATCATTTTCTATTGATTGGGTAAATCAGATAAATCGATTGATCAAAAGGCTTCGAATAATTCAATTCAGCAAGTCATCGTAAAGACTTGGAGTGCAATGTCATTATTCATCATTATCATTAATCTTTTCGGAAATTGATTGCATGGCGTAAAGTCGCTGTTCATAAACGAGATTTCTATTTGCTTTCGTGCATCCTCGGAACATGGATAGATGCTGTCGAACACCTCTCAACAGGCGTTATCGCTTTACCTTTATGATGTTGTAAAATGACAAACGCCGACGATCATTTGTCACCTGAGCTGCTCGGCTGAACGCAATGGTGAAACGTCACCGGAGAAATTGTAATGTAGCTGCAGTGAACGAATGTACAACACGTCGTTCACATCGCTATAGGGGGTCAAAGGGTTCACCTGGACATAAGTAATGTCGAGGGCAGTGTCTATGATTTTGCTGTTCATGAAGTTTGGGGAATGTCCAAGAGAAATGATACTTCCTGAAACTCGAAAGAAGGGACCACAGGCTTTGAGTTATGTCAAAGGGAAGGTAGCGCTCACGAAAAAGACCAGCCATCACCTTTGAAACCGCCTTCTTGCGATGCTAGAACTTTTGTACCAAGTTGTGCTTCTTACAATTCATATCGAACCTCCCGCGACACCCAAGCTACCCTGCATGTCTGGGCCATGGAGCTAGGTGTAGAGACTTATGAAATCGGAAAATGGAAGGGGTAGAGAAGAACTACAACGTTGCAACGAGGGCCGAGTGGGAGTGGTAAGCTCCTGTTGTTGTATATACTCCAGAGTACGGAGAACAGAGTGGTTCAGAGAGTGGAAGCATGTTTGCACTAAGGGAGGCCAAAAGTTCGATCCGTGCCGAGTCAAAAAGCGTGCTTAGCGAAAATCGCAAAAACAGTACGTATCGGTACCAGCCTCAGGTCCAGGTTGACAGGCCGGCCGATGGGCAACCCACATCACAAAAATATGATTGTAGCCGCAAAAGTAAACAGTGATAAAAAGCTCACGACGGTATCGACAGTTGCCCGCAGAGACTTCTCCTGACTTATGCGGACGTTATGCGGAAGTGTGACTCACTCGACCGGAGCACTCAGTTCGAAATGGAGTTCTGAACGGTGCTTCCTACTGGGAGTTCTTGAATCGCAGCGATTCCTTACTACGCTTGTACGGCAAATCTAATCCCTAGTCGTTACAACTGTTGCGTAATGTGACACTGACAACTGTCACAACAAAGGCAGAGCACGACAACTGCCATGAAACTGGATACCCAACTTGGGAGGCTTTAACTCCTGCTCTCAGAAGTGTGGGATGCTTTCCAAGTACTCAATGAATCTCCGGAATCTCCGGCGCAAAATGTTAACATTTGACTCGTGAAAATCTAACATGGAAGCAAATCTTATTGCTAAGTTCCGAAAATCGGAAACCGAAACCGCTTCAAAAAAACTGGTTCTGGAGTCTGAATTAGTCAGTCTTCAGAGAAAGTCAAGTAGTTGCTTGACGGTGATGTGATTTCACCGAACATAACTGCTTTTCTTTTAGGTTCTGATCCAACGAAGTAAAATAGCAACGATCAGTACAGATGCTTTCACAGGCCTTAGCACGGTAGAGACGGTGGAACTCTTTGACAATCAGATCGGCATGATTGCTGCCAGAGCATTTGCTTGTGAGTTGATTTGCCGATTCTTTTCTCATAGTAAAGGTTTCATAGAGAAAGGAAGCTGAGGGTTTTCCATGTAATACTTCCTTAATCGTTCATGAGCGAACATGTACCAGACTAACTACTACTTTCCTAATTCCCATCTTCACAGTCTTGGGAGAAAGGGGTTATTCTGACGAAACTATCTCATGTATACTTACTTTCTGACCTCCCGTAAGAATCCCCATTATATTACGTCCAAAATTGCTGGTCCTGAGTCGTGACTGAAAAATCCGATATCAGTTTGGTGCTATATACGACGAATGCTCATTTTGTCTCTGCCCGCTCCTAGCTTTAAAATTATTATGTGCAAAGGTTGACTTAATCGCCCGTTAACCGAAACTTTTTGCCTAACTGGACTTTGCCCCGTCCCGTTTATAAAAAGTTCTAAGGGTTATGGGTTGGTATTATTGGGTTTTCGGGTAGTTCTCACCACGATAAAGTATTCGGTCGTGGGAACTCCCGGAAGCTCGATGACTGGCTTTTTCTACCGATTATCCATGTTCTCACCGATCTTCCTGCTTCTAAGCAAAGGATAACATGTTTGTCACTAGGTAAAGAGTAATTTTCAGCGATCATAAATCTTGGTCGGATACGAATCGCCCGAAATCACATTGAGACCCTTCAAACGGTTGAATCATTGCTTTCGACGGCAATTCAGACACGTATCGAAGAAAACACAATCGAGTGCGGTTGCGATTTGCAGTGGATGACCGTGTATGAGGTTAGTTCATTCTAGGGCTCGTAAAAAACAAACATTTGATCANATTTTCAGCGATCATAAATCTTGGTCGGATACGAATCGCCCGAAATCACATTGAGACGCTTCAAACGGTTGAATCATTGCTTTCGACAGCAATTCAGACACGCATTGAAGAGAACACAATCGAGTGCGGTTGCGATTTGCAGTGGATGACCGTGTATGAGGTTAGTTCATTCTAGGGCTCGTAAAAAACAAACATTTGATCAGACCCTCTGGAGAAGCTTCTGAAAGCTCCCTGTGCTCTAAATATCTGCGATTATTTTGATTACTTCTATATAACAAACCCATTAGATGGAAACTTGATTGTAGCTCGGTTTTATGATCCGTTTTTTACTAGAGAGACTCGAAAAAAATCCTCAACTTTGAGTTGTAAGCTGTATGCCCGACTGTCTCTCCTCCTCCAAGGTTTCCGACGTCGTGTCGTGACTCTGCCCAAAGCACCGCGCAATCAAAATGGTAATATCACCAGAGATGTCAGCATTTTGAGGAAACCCTAGTCCCTGCTCGTTCGCCTAGTCGCTTTTTGGCAGTGGCTTATGGAGAGGCGACGACTCTCAATTTCAATACGCCTGCATTAGATTAGATTGGGATATCGTGGATGCACTTTAGTGACTCGAATTGGCTCCAGAGGGTCACCATGGTTCCGGTTTCTAGTTGGTTGGTCCTCTGAAGCAGCTAGGATGAGCGACGGGGAGTTAGAAATGACTTGGATGGGAAATGGAACTCAAGTTTTTTTTNTTTTTTTTCTAGTTTTGTTATCTTAAATAGCAGTTCCTTTCAGGACCGACGAGCCGCTGATGTGAACTACTGTGGCGCTAGTGGTGTGCATCGGACAGTTCGTAGCTATCTGAGACAATTTTGTCATAGACCACATCCTACAGCGCTGTCAACATTGTCGTCATCAGAAACGTCATTTGTCGTTACTAATCATGATAGGATGCTTGGTCAGTCACTACCACCGAGCACCGCTGCCCATTGTAGTTTGTCTGTCTATACAATTGTGCCAATCATCGGTATCTTGTTGTTATTGTAGAGACGCATTTATACTCAGCGAATTTTTTGCCGCCTTGTAGTCAAAAAGTATGGACAGATTCGCTACCGCGCGCTACGCTGTGATTCTCTGCCATCCTCCGTATCCTCAATTTGAACGCTATCTCTTCTGCCGCAATTCCAATCAAAAGCAGCAAATGTGGGCGTACCTGTCCAGAATAGGAGTGGTCCAGATCACGTCGGGACCCCTTCTGTCGTTGTGCATTATCAGCTAATTCCGTCGGGTTTTTCATGGAGTCCTCTTTCTTTCGCCACAAGTTTCTTTCATTCTCACTTTTTATTATGTTATGTGTTCTCTTCATTGATTACTGTAAAGTATGTTAAATACAAATTGTTTTTTCACAAAAAAAGCTTTCTCTGAGTGCAAACGACACATCACATGCTTTTTCAACTAACATACAACGTTTGTCCTGAATCTAACTATCATGTCCAGAGAGTCGGTCAAGGCAGTTTCCGGCATGACTCCGGCAGTCTTGAGGCCAACAATATGGAACCAGGGATGAGATATATACATACAACAAGGTGGAGGCACAGTAGTATTCAAAATTTTAAAAAACTATACTTTTATCACCAGAAAAAATAAGAGGCACAGTTCACGGTAATTAAGGAATGTCTAATTTCAGACGAATATCGGAAGTGATAGTCGATAAGGCTTCAAAATAGTAGTAAGTTTAGGGATGAACGAGAATGTGACGACAAAAGTTGCAGGGAAAGGGTATTTGGACGAGTTGTCCAAATGTGCGTGCCACTGCGTGCATTAGGACAACTCGTTCAAGCCGTTTACGTGCAACATGTGAGTCCCGGTGCGAATGGTGCAACAACCTCCATGGTCTTGACAACGCCGTGAAAACTCGTCCGCATCTGGGTGTGTACGTTTGCTAAGCCGGTTTTAGGTCCCTTCCTACGCCCGATCTAAGCCGTTCTTCGACCCGACAGCGCCACTGGCGCTCTATGGCAGTCACAGGTTCGTCCCACGAAGAAATTTCAAGAACCATTTTCATCGTGAACTATGCTATCAAGAAAATGAGGCAACACATCAGTTTTCGAATGTCACAGTTGTAAAACAACAGCAATCTACCGTAATGTTTTAAATGTTCTGTGGATGGTGAGATTTTATAGCGCACTGGTCACAAATATTTGACAAATCAGATCCTAAGCAGGAAAAATAGGTGATCTGCAAGTATCCGTCGACTCCATTAAAATCGTCCGATGAAATGTAGGGTTCGTGATCCATTGTAGGTGTTCGACTTTGCATGTTAGGCTCCTTCGAAACGCGACGCGACCGTACGCTTTCGTCTCTCGTTCCTCGAGTGGTGTCATGCTTCCCGTATTGAGTGGCACCAAGCAAAGTTCCAGATCTCTCAACAGGTTGCCACTTCTAATCCGCGTCAGAGACTGGCTTTTGTTATTGTCCTTCTGTACATCACTGTCTCTGACTCCTTCTGTGGTGCATCCATATCGGGTAGGGGAGGCGGTTCCGCCGACATGGGCCGTTCTTCGCTTGAACTTCGATGCAATGTCTCTGGAAACTCGTCGATTACACTCATTTTTCGCCTATACGGACTGGCATACTCCAAGAAAGGTGTCGTGGTCCGCGATGGAGATGTGAACTCAAGAAACGGCAAAGACTCCGCATCGTCATACGGTCGGACTTTTGTGTGAGAGTAGTAATCGAAGGACCGGCATACTGATTCTGATCGACGTTCCCGAGTTGCTTCTCGGATACTGTAGACGCCACTGCTCGGGGTCACATCCGCGTATGACTGGTAGGAGCAGAGAGGGTCAGAATCTAAATCCACTTGATGACTCATCAGGCTTCGCTCCTTTTCTTCGAATGCACGGATGTTATTTGCTGTGGGAGATGGTATCCTGAGGTCTTCATAGAGTTCTGACCTTCCTAGTCGGTTGTTTCCCGGTTCTTCATGAGGTGAAGCTGAATGAAGATCTCTGATACCATTCCTCACGATTGGCTCCACCACACTCGAGCTAGAAGTGAAGTATTTAGCCTGGACCCCGCTCGCGGATCCTTTTGATTCCTGATGAATTTTACTTGGATCTTTAGAGAATGTAGGTGAATGGGCGGTGCCAAAAGTGCCGAATCCTTCAGCGACTTTTGAATTTGTATGAGTTTGTCCTGAAGTGGCAAAGCCATCTGGAGTCGACGCTTTTGCTGGCAGGTCCTCTAGAGCAATAGCCGGAGCCACCAATGAGCTTCCAGGAGTTTCCTGATAATTATCACCATCCGATGTCGTGGCTGATTGCGAATTGTCACTTCTAGTCAGAGTAGAGCTATTCCTCCTGACCGAAAAAATCTTCCCATCGGGGAGAACTACTGTTTTGACACGAGGCAAACCGTAGGACCGGCTCTCAGCGCTCGACGAGTTTCGAGTCTCAGGATCTGCAGTAACATTTTCGACCTTAGCAAAGGCCATCGAAGTAGAACTAGGAGTGAACTCGTCCACAAGGCTCACTTTTGATCGCAACTCTTCCATCAATTGCGTTTGCTGCTTGCTGGAGCCGGGATCAGGTGGAGGTGGAGCGATCGATGGACTTGGCGACAGCATCCAACTGAAACGGCTCAGTGAAATTCGAAATTTCAAAAAGTTTATGAAGTTATTTCGAAAGACTTGTATTCTTACTTGGAGACTTTTTCTTCAGCAGCAATTCTCTCGTAGAGTTTACGGCCAGCTGACAAGCCACTCTCCTGAGTTGTGGTAGTTGTATCGTCCTCCATTTTCGCTATGACCTCACTGATTTTCTCCAATCTTAAAATTACACGGACTTATCTTAACCCGTCTTTTTTTCATCAATCAATCCTCTTTTCTCTGATTAGAAGTCAGTGTAGGGGAAAGGTTATATCATCTGAGGGAAATCTAGCCATTTACGCCATGAAAACGCCTAGGGTTGGTATGTTATAGACTGAAAGTTGTTTCAGAGTTGCAGCAAGTAGATTTGGAAATCTCTCAATATTTCGGCCGGATATGCTAGAGAGATGTGCATATAAGAGAGCACAGACAACACCAGAACACTGGGGTCATCGCAACGTCTTGCCCATCCACTCACTACAGATTC